GAGGAGGAGGAGGAGGTCAGCAGCAGCAAGGAGGAGGTGTAGTACCAGCTCAACAGCAACAAGGAGGAGATGCACTGACAGTACTAATCCAGCAACAGCAACCAGGAGCTAATGAACAAACCAATGGACAACAAGGAGAGGAGGGACAAGAAGGACAGGAGCAACAAGGGCAGCATGAGGAAGGACAAGAAGAGCAAGGAGAAGGAGCTGAGGTACAAGGAGAAGGAGACCAGCCACAAGAAGAAGAGATACAGACAGGACCAGTGGAAGGAGAGGAGCAGTCTGGGGAAGTGCAAGGAGAAGGAGGAAACCAACAAGGAGGAGAGGAACAGAGGGAGCCACTGGAACAAGGACTGGAACAACAACAGGAAGAAGGAGGAGGGATACAGGAGGAAGAAGTAGTTCATGAGGAAGGAGAGAAGGATCCTGTGCATAATGAAGAAGCTACTCCTCCTCCTGCTGTGGCTTGTACTGAGTCTAGTTCTAATAGTAAGCATCAATCAATATACAGTGTTTATAATGATTGGTTGTATGTAATAGTTAATACTGATGTACAGAAGAGTATGAAATATGCTGGACTGGTTTACTATGAGGAGAAAGGTGTAGAGGATCTAGTCACATTCACTGCTGCTAAGAAACTGGATGCACTCATTCAAGTAAGAATGTATTCCTATACACACAATGTGTTGATTATTATTTGATAGTTTATTGAGCGGAAACACTCTCAAGCTGATATTGGACCGGATATTTCCTTTTGTTTCAAGTTTCCTTATGATCACATTGAATTGAACTTCACTGCACCCCAAGATGAGCCAATCACTGGTTGGATGGTTAAACCTCACACCAAACCCAGCAGAGTAAGCTTATTAGTTTTTAACATCCATGTACAATGTATCAATATGTTACAGTTATATCAAGAGGCTGTTGATAAATTTGGTGAAAAAGAGCATTGTCGTCCTTCATCTTGTCTTATATCAGTTTATGGATCACCTGATGCTGTCCCTTTTCTTAATTACTCTGTACCACTAGTAGGTGTAGTTGAGCCAGTGACTTTAAACATTCACAGAGTACGGAGAAATCCTCCTCCTTCAACAAGTAATAGATGAATTATTTCAATTGTTTATTTATTTAATATTAATCAGATCCTACTACCTCCTCTTTCTCCTCTAATGTAGTACCTAGTTCAGTGTCAGTATCATCCACTGGAGGAGCTAGTAAGTTATAATACTGCGTGTATATACTGACTTTTGACCTCTATTAGGTCCATCAGCTACTGTTGATGTCAATAAAATAAAGAAAGTGATTGATGATGTTCTTGTATCTCATTATGCTGCACTCAATTCTCTTAAGACGTCTCTCTCAGATCTTGCCAGTCAGTTATATGCAGCTCATCTTATTAGTGATGAAGTCAGAGAGACTCGTAGCATGGACAAGTTCATTACAGAGTTCAAGGCTAGTCTTAGTTTTATGAGGAAGTTACCTAAAGTGGAGGAGCACTGTCAAAAGTTCTTAAGCTCATTCATTGCTGTAAGAGGCAGTTATGCTAATGCAGCAGAAGCTTTTAGGTGAGGACTGGATCGAAGCTATTAGAAATGAACTGGGACTTGGTTTTAATATTGATATTGATTCTTAATAATAGTTTTCAATTAATTTTATTGCTTTTACATTCAAATTGCTTATTTTAAAAGCAATGTTTTACATTTTATTTTAAAAAATTTGATTAATTTAAGTTCCTTGATCACACCAACCTTCACACCTCTTCACATCTTGTTCATACCTTCACAATGAGACAGAAAATTGATTTTTACAAAGCAAGCACCATTGTTATCACACAACTATAGTCCAATTACACTCCTAGCTACTTATACTGATACACCACATTCCAATACATTAGCATTGTGAGTACTCAATAGTCTCTCTGATATCCTCATCACTCCTTCTCTCTAATCAATCAGTGATGCAGAGCAGTACTGCTGTATGACCACGTTTTTGCACGTGGTGGCTAATAAAACTGAGTAGACTAGAGGGTGTGGTCTTATTGATAATTAATTTGTTGAAATGTTAGGTTAGGTGTGGCTTAGTCCATTTAACGGACAGCACCTAGTATTTCTTACTATATAAAAATACCTCTGAAATAAAGACACTTCTGTATTAAGGACAGGTAGT